GACAGATTTGAGAAGGAACTCTACGTCCGACTCAGCCGCAGAAGCAAAAAAAAAAGACTTGCATGTATCATTTTAATGGACAGCATCTACAAATCACAGCCCTGACATCCTTTTTGCTAACGTTCAATCCGTGAGGTTGCTATAATCTCCATAGATGCACAGTGATAAACTTCCGTTGCAAATCAAGGCCTATCCCCTCACTGCCAAACGCGGGAAAAGCCTGGCTTCAAAGAACGGAAGTACTAGTTACATACATAATAGAACAAAGTAGCTTGATTGTAGATCTGCAAACAAAGCCAATTCTTAGAGGTCATGGATAGGGAAGGGGGATAACATCCAGATAAACAAAGCGGTACAAGGCCCGCGACGTGCGCCACTTATCTTTCTTTTTACAAACTTCGAATAGCACGGAGATGTTTTTGTTGATCTTAGTTTTTTGCTACCTTACCATCGACAAAAGTTATGGCTGCTATAATAGCTATAAAGGCGTGACGGCTCCCACCACATTCTACTTTGCCAATGTCAATAAGGATTCGCATAGTGGCTGAGCTTCGCATCTAATCTGCCTTTGATAGTTGGAACCAGTGTAAAATTAAGTGGTTTACGAGTAGCGGTGGAATTGATATTCTTCGTCAATGTACAGCAATGAAGTGAGAGAGGTGTCAGTCCCGGAGCTTCTAACAGAAAGGCACCTTAAAGGACTAAGCTCCATTCATCTACTCGCGTCATTCTCGTTGTCCTTTTAGTAGGGTCCCGTAGGAAAAACTCTTAGGCAGATAATCGATTCGACGTTTTGCGTCCTGGACAACATGTAGCTGATGTTGGAAAATTCATTCTCTCCAAAGTGGGAAATTAGGCTTAGCTCAATCTGAATGGACGAAAGTTTCAGCAACGGAGTTATAGCAGGAGAGTTAGAAAAGAGATCTCACTCGAGTCCTCTTACTAGTGACAAGCAAGCAGTATAGCAAGAGTTGAAGTAGAATTCCAAAGGTCTATCCCACTTGCTTAGCCTCTTTCATCAAGACCACGATTGACTACATTGAAACAGGCTTATCATCACGCCTAAAATTCATGAGACGGACTTCCGGACGTTAAAGAAGCGTTTTTTGAGGCGATGCTTCGTGTAGCATTCTAATTCGTTAATAACATCGAGCCAATCAATCAGTCGTCCCTGGGTTCCGTATAGAAAAGAGAACGTGGTATGACATGGTGCTGCCAATCCACTCGTTTAGGAGTTGTTTTGCACATACCAATATAAACTTGCTCTTCCCTGACAGCAGAACCACTTTGGAAAATATTTTCCCATCACAACCAGGGGGGCACACGCTTGCCCAGTTAGTGTCGAGGCATCGACGGATTTCTTCCTCGTCGTGTGGACGTCAGCGATGTGATAGGAGCGGCACAGCTCCACTGGGAATTCGTCAGTTATCTGCAGTAGTCTGCGATCGAAACAACCGAAGTCATAGACAGACGAGCAACTACGAGCTCGTATTTCAAAACATGGATGACTCTCATATTTGGAAGCCTATAAGAGCAAACAAACACTCCAGTTCGTAGCATAATATTTTTGAAATCTCTTCCGCAAGAACGAAAGACTAGAAATTCATCATCATCATCTGCACTTTCGCGCGGGCCTTAATAGCCTGGGGAAATCACGGTTCGAATCACACTGAAAAAGTTAAATTTTAAGCGCTTGTGAATGGACGAGATCAAGAAAAAAAAGTATTGAACAGCAAATCCATCGCCAATCTCGAGCAGAAACAGTTTCAAGCTCAGCCTAAAACTGGGGTTGTGGTGCAGTAAGAACGAAATTGTCGCATCGCGGCGAGAGAGTCGCCGCGCGCGAAGGAATGAAGCAGAATGCAGCAGCAAATTGGAAATCCAGGAACAAAAGAACTAACAGTATTCATGCCAAAAGTAACAACGTATAGCAATTGAGCTGTGTGAAGAACGCTAGAACTGTCATAACGAGGCAAAGGGTCCGCGAAAGCCGCGTGCGGCGGATCGATTACACAAAACAGTTCCTACTGCCCGTTTCCCTCAAACTGCCGATGTAAAGTAAGGATGAGGAGAGAAATGAGATCCTCCAAAGATTCGCCCATACCTCACCACCTTCTGCCGGTGCAGTGATTTCCATACCTCACATTTCGGTCCAAAATGACTTTAACGTCGATAGCTGCAATCGATTCATTAGCGGTAACGAACTGATTAGTACAGGGAGCTGGCCTATGGGCTCTACCTGATTCTGGTGCCGGCTTTCCGTGCTGAACTAATCCGAAATGACTAAGAGCAAGTAACCTTAATGATGATGAACTACTGCGGAGCCATCGAGCTTCGAAACCTTTATAACTCTACATGAAGCACAACCAGGGGCTTGTATGATTTCCCAAAGACCGCACGTATGCGCGTGCGTCTCCCGTAGGAGAAAATGGTTCTTCTAATTCTACTTTGCGCCAACATCTCCTTTCGCACATTTCTAGTTACTGTGACAGATAAGATGAGTTCATTTGCCGGCATACTTCTATATATAAAGCAAGTGCATAGTTTTTGTCGATCATCCGTTGCATGTCCCCCAGTCTATCCGTACATGCCATCAACGCTTGAAAACAGCCCCAGAAGAAGTTATTATGAAATTGTCGTTCTGAAAAATTTTTACACTCCAGGAACCCCTTAACACCTTATATGATGCTTTTCATTCATTCAGTTTTGAAATTCAAGCAAGTTGGCCAAGCTAAAGAGCTCTAAAGTGAGACCAATCGGAGCTCAAGTCCGTGAAAGGCGGGAGGGCATGATTGATAGATCGCACTTATGGAGATTACACAAGCTGCCATTGCTTCGGAAAAACCAATGAAGCGGCAATGGAGATTAATTGACCACTGATATGTAGTGCATCAACGAAATAACATAGTTGAGGATTTATTGAAGCGGAACTCAATATCTCACTGCCAAAAAGCAAACTAAAAGCTTAATTATTAAAATTTCGATCACATGACACTCAAAACCGGTCCTGACGCCCATTGCCGGTCAGTACTCCTAAAAAAGGACGTGTTTCAAGGAACGGTTGAGGTTACGCCATGAATCGCACAATCCGAAATAAAGGACATTCGGATTGACTGTGGATGTAATCAGTTGGTGCACCCTATCCACAGCTGGGATCATCATCCTAATTCAAGGAATCTGCAGATTTTCTTTTCTTTGCCACCAACAAACCATCCTGCGCCAGTACTATCCCCATTAGCTTAATAAAGTTACATGGAGTCATTGTGAAGAGCCCTCTGAAAAAGGTCTATAGCAAGGCAGCAAGCCCAAAGCCAGCCTACTGAAGGAGCTTTGCTGAACGGCAACTACAAATACTTCCTTCGCTATCTTCTTCAGCTACGAATAACTTAGTGGATCACATGAAACAGAAGAGCAGAGGTCTACATTTATGACCTCATGTTTGGGCTATCGTTTACACCCATTCACTCCAACTGAGGCATATTCCCATCTCATACATTCAAACAACGGTGAACTCTGTTCGGCTGTAAGTCCATGCGCTAGTGGTTTACCTTCAAGAAGGTGCCTAAAAATAGATATTCCAGTTAAGCGAGCTTCTCCGAGGGCGTTGGGTTCGCTAATTCGCCTCTAACCTTCTTTTAAGCAGATGCTGACTGATCGTATATTGGCTCGGCTCATTTACGAGTGAAAAGAAAGTTGGTTCATGTGCTCATTAACTTAGCACATGTGATTTTCGTTTGTTTAGTGGGAGAAAGCAGGGAAATTCATTTGAACTGAAGTACTGAACATACCACACGAACGAACGACGTAAAACGACGAACTGAATAGTTGTAAGCCACTCCTTCAAGTGTTAATGCTACTATCGAATTTCGTTCAAATACCCAAAAAACTCGTCCGAAAAGTGGACGAAAAAGGAAAGACCTCTCGTGTATTTAGCAGGAGGGGTCTAATAATAGAATTCATACCAACTCCTGTCAAACCGCCATGATCTATGTACTGCCTTCCCAATTAAGATTCATTCTTCAATCAAGATCTGCTAGGACTATGGGTGCTGGACAAATGCCACAATTACAAGCACACAGAATGTTCTCTGTAGAAAAAAAAAACACTTCCCATGTGGGAACATTGGGGGAACTCTAATAAGAACAGGAGCTCGACAGAAGAAAGGGCACGCTTCCTCCAATTTCGAGAAGTTCATACTTCTTCTAAAAATTACATGACAGGGTTGAATTTATTTCAGTGTGAAAGGATTTGAATAACAACATACAGCACATGTCAACAAAATTCTAAAGCAAAGATAGAATAATAGAATGCTTCCGTAAAAATAGCCCATACTAAAGTAGTAAGTAATTACTTTCTCTTCAGTCATTACCGTAAAAGTGCAAACTTTGAACAAGAAAAATGGCAGTACGAAAAACGGAATTGTAAAAGTTTGAAAGTGAAAAAGTCGAGGTAAAAAAATTTACCTAAAAAGTAGGTAAAACGAATGGTTAAGTTCAAAAAGAAAGAGGTAATGAATCAAGGGTAGTTACCTTTCGGCTACCAGCTTTCCCTTCACTACTCTAAGATGGTCTGTTCATCGAAATCTCGCTTTAACTTGGTCGCTACTACTCGAGTTCAATTAAATGGTGAAAAATGATAAAAAAAAAAGCTAATAATAGCTTCTCTTTCTCGATAACAGTACCCAAGGCAAAGTTTTTTTGAAGGCTTTACCTGTCAATTGATTTAACTTCAGTATTTGTACCTCCCCAAACGTTCTAAAGATCGCCATCAATGTTGGAAAACACGGGAAAACCCATAATTGTTCTCGTGATGTCGTGAGGTTTTGGGCAAAAACAGGCATCAAATTCCGATCAGTTTCCCGGACAACAAGCGAAAACTGTAATCATCTTTCTCAAAACCCTACTAAGCCTCACAGTGAGCTGGGGGATTAGCAGAGAAGTCAACAATTAGAAGCCATTCCGAATATTTCTGAATGTAGTCGCCAGACACAAAAAAAATTCTTAAGCAAAAACCAACCTGATGTAGTTGGCATACCACCAGGTGAGGTACTCACCGAGGCGTGGCAGTGACAATACAAAAAACGCCGAAATAAGAATAAGTGTGTCGGAAGCGGATAAGACAGCCAAATACCAGTTAATCGACGACGATGACATCAGACGATGGGTGAATATACGAACAGATGTTAGATTGGCGCATAGCCCGAATACAATGATAGGCAAGGCGACCAGGCCAAGCAGCATGCGCTCAGCAAATTCGTAGAATTGGTACTCGTAGTGACAGGCACATGATGTATTCATTACCGAGCACATGTCCTCAGCTGATGAAGCGATGACGTTGTCGAATACCGACGACATCGTCGTCATATTCTCCATCATTTTTTGTTACAAAAAAACTTTCTTAAATCTTAAAAATTGAATGCTAACAATGTGCGACTCGGCGTGGGAAACGAATTCCGAGGAGTGGTTCAGGGAGGCGTGGTTAGGAGCACAGGAAAGCAACACGAGAAATAGTGGGTGGTGAGGTGGACGGCCAATGAAACCTCAAAGCTGTCGCAATCAGATGTGGGCGGTCTCCGGGTAGCGTTCCGCGTAGCGTCGATCCCGTACGTACTTGACGGAGACTAAGCGACCTGAAATAGAAAGTAATAAGCCTTAGAAACAGAGTCAGGGAAAATCGATTGCGAATCGTGTCAGCTGTTGCAGACGAGCCTCCAAAGTTTTCTCTAAAACTTTTCTGATTACGTGACTGCTCTCGAAACCGGAAGCTAACTTCATCCAGACATCCTCTTGAAGCTCACTGGCCTCGCCCGCAACTGAGAACGACCATCACAATCGATTTTGGTAGATTTCATATCAACTTTTCAAAGTAAAGCCCAAAGAGTAGGAACAACGAAGGGGCGACGGCAACAAACTTCAAAAACTCAATGAATGCACTAGTCTACGGCATCATCTCTGCTGAAGCCCATTGTTGCTTTTAGATAGAAAATAGAAAGCAAGTTTGAGTGAAACAAAAGGGCGGAATGAGATCAGCGTATGAATAAAAACACAATGACCAAGGGGGAGAGGAGAAGAGCTAGCTGTGCTCAGCTTGCATCTCTTATAATTACCGGGTATAATTGTATATAGATGGAGCAATTCATATGACATATCTACGACGGATGAAATGGCTGCTACCAATCATTATCGCGCCGCGCACATTGTCTCCGCCAATCACTCAATTTATCGGTTTAAAGACTTATGCATTGTGGAGATCATTCTCGATCACCAATTAGCATCGCGATCGGTGATCGAGAGCAACCTACACTGAAAACTGGGATTACACTTTGCGGAGTAATCCATAGTGAACCTTTTTCAGTATACACTCACAAAAGTAACTCGTCCAGGAGGCCGTTCGCACACCATCTTCTCTTAAATAGTTTACGATCTAGCTCTGAACCATCCTACAGACTCACTCACTTGAAAGTTAATTGTAAGACCACCTCTAAAAAGAGGAAATGAGTACTCAATAGAAAATGAGGGCAGAAAAGTAGGCCTAAGGGGGAATGAGTAAAAAGACGCATAGAAAAGAAACATCAAATCGGTAATAGGAGTACATATTTGATTACGAGCAGTCCCTTAAACTGAAGCGTGATAATGTAATAGCTACGCCTATTCTCTTCACTGTCATGATTCCCATGTAATTAGCGATTGCTAATTCCTATTGCTCATTTCCATTATTTCTTATTTTTTGCATCAAAAGCCATGAAAAGGACCGGAATTTGTTTTCTTCGAAAGCATGAGAGAGATTATGAAGCTCACTCTTTTTCGAAGGCACAGGCTTCGATAAATTAAGGTTTCGTCTTTATGGCACAGGCACAGTTCACGATAAAATGGTTTCTGATATTCCTACCTAGAATGAACCTGTGACTTCCATGGACAGCACGAGGGATGTCGTCGGGTCAAAAAACGGCCTAGGTAGGGCGTAATAAAGGCCCAAGATTGGCTGAACTGATGCACACATCCAAAGACGGACGAGTTTTCAAGGCGCTGTAGAGGCCGTGGGGGAACGCACACGCACTGGGATGCACACGTTGTAAGCAACCAGCCTACTGTAGCCAGTTGCATGTTGGCAGACATACATTTGGACAGCTCGTCCAAATACCCCTTCAATGCAATTTTTGTCGTCATATTCTTTTTAAACTAATATTTTTTCTTTTTCGTTGCCTTGGGTTTTTCCAAATACGCCGATTTTCGCGCTCTCATCACTTTTTTCGCACTATTCTGGACACAGTTCTTCTTAACCAAGAGTACCCCAAAATTATCATGAACTGTGCGTTTAAGCGATGTTATATAAAAATGACAAATTTGAGATCGTCTAAACAGAAAATCGTCACGGATACGCTTTATGAAAAGGAAGAGCGTTCCATGAAAGAAAACGAGCTTTTTCCTTATATATGTTTAGACGATTTCTCATGGGTACAGCTGCCAGCAATGACGAAATCTTTTCATGTTTTATGTCCATTTTTCGCTATTGAGGAAGCTGTCAGACTTCACCAGCCGTCGCAGGCATTGTGCCAGTAACAAGTATTTACCGCATAATTGCCATAGCGTTACACACGCAACGTTCCCAACCGGCTATTTCGGGCAAAATCTGTCCTTCTCTGAAGAAGTACAGCCGGGAAGCATCCAAGAACCTCGTGAATGACTAGAGTCATCGCACTTTTATTCTTGCAATCGTTGTGAGCAATCAAAGTATTTGACGTTATCTCCTACGCAACCCGCAGGTTAGGGCAGCTGGACAACTGAAGCGCGCAGATGCTGCGTGTGCCCCCACAAAGATGTTTGATTACTAGAGGCGCGATTTTCTCGAAGATTGCGATCCAGACCGTTACTCAGCGTTCTTCCGATCTAGAATGATCTATACAGAAGGCCATAGTTATACTGATTCCGATGCATCAGTCACTCGAGCTCAACTGGTACGAAACCCAGTTCTCTCCGTGCATCACTACAGTGATCAAAGGTGCATGAGGCAGTTCATTCTAGTAAACGAGCGTGTAGATTTAGAGCTTCGTCTTCCCTTTGTGAACAGAATTCGAAAAAGGCAATGAGCACATAGTTGTTCCCAGTAAACATCACTGTTTTAGTCAGTTCAACGAAATGGAGGCAAAAAAGCCGGCATTCATGGAATTCTCGGAGGAATGATGTCAAAGACGTACTGAAATCATTGACGTCAGACATTACAAAAAAATCCCAAAGTACGAGCAGACATAAGAAGAGGGGCTGGGGAGTGAAACGGGGGCTAAAAGGGTACTAGACCGTTACTTTGCGAATCCCATTCCACCACCTGCCAATGGGTATCGTTAGAGGCACGCGTAAACATCGACTAAGCATCTGTCGAGTCACAGATTTAACCTCATTTCTTCTCGAGCCAAATGGTTTGGAACTTTTAATTACAATTGAATGGAGTATGTTGATAGGTACTTCTTTTGAATGGGAGCTCCAGGTACCTTAAGAAAGAAAAACAAGAACTTGGTGCAATTTTTTTGTGTGAAGCACAATACATTTTGCCTCGCTGAGAATGAGACTAAGGCCAGACTTCTGTCTAAACGTGGCCTCATAGAGAATGTATAGTATGTATGCTCCAACTGGCTCAAGAACAAGATAGAAGACTGTCCTTTATGTTAAACCCAATTAGCTCCTGCCGATGACAGTGCAAAACCTGAAACATGACGATGACCGTTTGCTGGGGTAACGAATTGAAGCCACGCATGCAAACACACTTGTATTTGCAGCGATACTTCCGATGAAAAGTCATGAATGGTGGAACGTTGGGAGAAATAGGCCGAGACTCTTCACAATTGAAATAGTGGAATACACGCCAAGTAATAACGGAATGTACTCAATTCCTAAGGGATTCAAGAATGAAGCAGATGTCAGCTCTGAGAAACAGCTTCATTTAGGCTCAGACAGATAAGATGGGAAGTGCGACTCTAGAGAATGAACCCACTCTCCTCTGAAGGGCTTATAAGGATAAGCGCCTTAGATCACAGCTTATATACTACGTATCCGAGATGAAGAACTACAAACTTGAGAAATATTGAGGAAACCCCTACTATCATATTCTTTTTTCTGACTAATCAGTTCAATTAAAAAGCGCAGAGAGAATCAGTCCTCGTGAAGCATGGAGTTTGCCCTCTTTGATCAAACACGAACGCAATTTTTTTCTACCTACTTCACAAACTTTCTGAGGCACAGTTCTCGACTATTTTCAGGTATCTTTTTAGAGTAAAAAAGCGGAAGTGTTAGTGAAGGATAGTGCATCGGTGGCGGAGAAAGCGAGAAAATCTGCCGACTTCACGAAAAACAAGGCTTCCTAAAGTCATGAAAATAGAGTTTGTACGAGGTTCACCTGTATCACCTGTCGTCCCGTTGATCATCGAAATCCTCGAGCGGGCGCCAGTAACGTCTCCATTCGTCCCTGTCACGAGCCAAAGTGGTCCAGTGAACCGTTCTCGCTTCAGGGACACGAGGTTCAACATTCCTTTCGTTCAGAGCTTTCGTGAAGAAGTCTGACCATCTCGTCGGCGGCCTTCCTGGTGTTCGTTTGATGTCCTGAGGGATCCAGTCAGTAACCTTCACGATAGTGCTACGAAAGCAGAGAGTCTACAAGTAGCCAAGAGACGACTCTCTTCGAAGNAAAAGTCAAACACAAATTGTAGCCTCATCAGTCGCAATGGTTACAAGTACAATGACGTCAACCCAATTCACATAACTCAAAGTCGGAACGTTTCCGGCTGCCTCCCTAAGCAATTTAAAGACAAGTTATGTGGTTGCCGGATGTCAACAAAATCGAAGATTTTGTGAGCTTGGCGGTACTGACATTCTGTCCTTATGTTTATGAAGTTTAGGTAGTAAATCAAACTGTCGTAAATTCTTTTTATTGAAGCTCAGTCAGTGGTTGCCACTAAAATAACTGGTTCTTCCAAGTGCACAAC